CGCCTCCTTAAACAACTTTCCTTTTCTTGCTAATTAGCACACACTNGAGGAGAGATGGAGAGGGAAGGGGAGTGAGAGAAGGGAGGGGTGGGGGAGGGAGGAGAGATGGAAGTTTTGAGAGTAAAGAAATTGAGAGGAGGGGGGGAGAGAGAACGAAAGAGGAAGAGAGGTGGAGAGAGTGGGGTTGAGAGATAGAGGAGTTGAGTTATTAGGGGGAGAGAGGAGAGAGAAATTTTTTTAGACGTATCAAACCCGACGGACAGACGAGACAAACAAGCTCTTTAATATAAGGGCGACAGGAGAGATAGAGGCGAATTGAGAGAACGAGAAGACGAGAGTGCGAACGAGAGACCGAAAGAGATTTTGCCTTAATGGGAGAGCGAGAGGAAGACGAGATGCGAACGAGAAAGCGAGAGGAGTAAACGGAGAGAGCGAAGAGGGAAACCTGAGGATCGAGATGAGCCGAACCGGAAAGAGGACGTGGAGAGCCTAGTTTTTTAGCGACGGAAGGCGGGGAACCGAGAAAGCGATCTTTAGAGAGAACGGAAGCATACGAGAGACCGAGACATACGAACGAGATGAACAATTACGAACTGAGAGACCGAGGATTCCGAAGAGAAAGCGAACGAGAGACCGAGAAAGCTGAACGACAGACGAGATTAAACGAGAAAGCAAAACGAACGAGGAGAGAACGAGAACATCCGAACCAGGACCGAGAAATACGAACGAGATAAGAACAAGGAAAATTTCCGCGATGAGAACGAGAAAACGCTACGATTGCGAACAAGAAAACGCTTACGAACGAACGAGAGACGAGGAAGCGAAGTATGGAGAACTTAACGAGAAAAGCGAACGAGTTCAGTGGGAGGAGACAGGTAGCGAGCGCCGAGGAGCAGAAAGTCGGAGGAGGAAGCCCTTCACGAGTGTCGGCGGCGCTTCAGGTATTCAGGAACGAGACCCGAGCACACTTATTTTCGCTCTCACCCTCCGTCGGCGAGGACCCTTATTATCACCTCTTGTTTTTCATCTTTACTCGGCTTATTTTTGTTTGGGGCCTTCTGTGTTCGGTTATTTTGGTATTTGGGCCTTGTGGTTTATTTGGGATTATTTGGGTCTTGTGTGTTCGGTTATTTGGGTTATTTGGGCTTTCCTGCTGTTCGAGTTTTTTGGGTTATTTGGGTCCTGTGTTCGGTTATTTTGGGTTTTTTGGCTTCCTGTGCGTATTGGGTTATTTTGGGCCTCCTGTGTTCGGTTATTTTGGGTTATTTTGGGCCTTCTGTGTTCGGTTTATGCGGTATTGGGTGTTGTGGTCTTTGGGTTATTTGGGGCTTCCTGTGTTTCGGTTATTTTTGGCTATTTGGGCCTCCTGTGTTCGGTTATGTTATTTGGGCTTCTGTGTTCCGGTTATTTTTATTTTTGGGCTGGGGTGTTCGGTTATTTGGGTTATTTGGGCCTGCCTGTGTTCGTTATTTGGGTTATTTTTGGCTCCTCCTAGTGTTCGGTTATTTTGGGTTATTTTGGGCTTCCTGTGTTCGGTTATTTTGGGTTATTTTGGGCCTCCTGTGTTCGGTTATTTTGGGTTATTTTGGGCTTCCTGTGTTCGGTTATTTTGGGTTATTTTGGGGCCTCCTGTGTCGATTAATTTCTGGTTATTTGGGCTCCTGTGTGTTCGGTTATTCTTGTTGTTATTTGGGCTTACTGTGTTCCGGTTATGGGTTATTTTGGGCTTCCTGTTTGTTATTTTGGGTTATTGGGCCTCCTGTGCTGTTATTTTGGTTATTTGTTCTTCTTCTCTTGTTATTTTGTTTTTATTTGGCTTCCTGTGTTCTTTTATTTGGGTTTTCTTCCTGTGTTTTGTTATTTGGGTTTGTTCCCGGTTATTTTTGGTTATTTTGGGCCCTGTTGTTCGGTTATTTTGGGTTTATTTTCGGCTTTTTTATTTGGTCTCCTGTGTTTTATTTTGGTGTTATTTTGGGCCTCCTGTGTTCGCGTTAATTTTGGGTTATTTGGGGCCTCCTGTCTGTTCGGTTTGTGGTTCTTGTTTCCGGGTATTGGTCTTTTTTGTGGGGCCTTCCTTGTTCTTTGCGTCTCCTGTGTTCGGTGATTTATAGTTGTTATTTTGGGTCTCCTGTGATCGGTTATTTTGGGTTATTTTGGGCCTCCTGTTTCGGTATTTGTGTTCGGTATTTTGGCCTCCTGTCTCGTTTTTCTGTGTTCGGTTAGTTGGGTCTCCTGTGTGTTCGGGTGATTTGGGTTATGTTTGGCCTCCTGTGTTAAGGTTATTTTTTTCCGGTTTTTTGGCTTCCTTGTGTTCGGTTTTTGGGCCTCCTAGTGTTTTTCGTTCTTTTGGGGGCTTCCTGTTTGTCGGTTTATGTTGGGTTCCGTGTCACACCCGGTATTTGGGTTATTTGGGTTCTCCCTAGTGTTCGTTTTCTTTTGTTGTTTGGCTCTGTCATCTTGTATTTTTTTTCGGTTCGGATTGCGCCTCCCTGTGATTCGGTATTTTTTTTGGGGGGGCGTCTGTGTTCCGGTTACGTGGGTCTTCCGTGTTCGTTGTGGCCTCCTTCCGGTGATTTGATCTTCTGTCTGTGTGGTGTTTTTTCTTGTTGTCTGTGTGTTTGTCTCCTCCTGTGTCGGTTTTTTTGGGTTATTTGGCCTCCTGTGTTCGGCTATTTATTGAGTCATTTGCAGCCTCCTCTGTTCGGTTATTTTTGGTTATATTGGGCCTCCTTGTGTTCGGTTATTTTCTTACTCTCTTTGGATTCCGAATGGTTAGTGTGGCTGTTATGAATCATTATCATTATTAACGTCTTTATTGTCATGCTTCTTGTGATTATTATCATTTACCGTTAGCATTACTATTAGTATTACTATTATCGTCTTCATCATTTTCGTAATTATTGTTATTATATTTTACTTTTTGTTCTTATTATTGTATCCTGTAACTATCATTATTTTTTGCATCTATCGCAGTACTTGTCTCCTGCCATTCTGTTTATATTTAGTATTTTACATTCGTCAATTCTCGTTGATTTATTTTGCGCTTTCTTGTTTTCTTTCTTTCTCCTTTCTCTTTCTCTTTCTCTTTCTCTTTCTCTTTCTCTCTCTCTCTCTCTCTCTCTCTCTCTCTCTCTCTTCTTCTCTCTCTCTCTCTCTCTCCTTCCTCTCTTCTCTCTCTCTCCTCCCTCCCTTCTTCCCTTCCTTCCTTCCTTCCTTCCTTCCTTCCTTCCTTCCTTCCTTCCTTCCTTCCTCCTTCCTTCCTTCTTCCTCCCTCCCTCCCTCCCTCCCTCCTTCCTCATCCCTCTCCCTTCGTTTCTTCCTCTTTCTCTCTTTCTCTATTTATCAATCTTTATAATCATTTACTTGTTGAACCTCGTCTTCACTTCCTTTCGGGAGAGACAGAGAGAAAATGTGAATATACTTTCTATACAAAATGTTTTATATTTTGAGGTTAAATCCTAATTACGTAAAATTGTATCGTTAATTAATTTTAAGACCAAATTTTCCAAGCTTGCAAAAAATAATAATTGCAAAGTGAATAATAGCGATCCTCAGGATGAGAATGATTTTAGGTATAATGATGGTAAAATTATGTAATGATAATGATAATGCCATGAATTAATAATGATGATAACATAATGATATGATAATTGCCAAATGCAATAATAATATGATAATAACTAATAATAATGCAATGAAATAAATAATTATAATAACAATAACTACAATAACAAATGATGAAATAATTATAATATAACAGTAATGATATACATTTTATAATAAAAATAAAGTGATAATGATTAATGATTAAATGACAATAATGCAATGAAAATGAGTAAGAATAACAACATTACAATGAAAGGTTATGATAATAATGATAGTAATAACAATAATAAGTAATAACATGATAATGATAATAACAATGATAATGATAACAATAATAACAGTAATATCAAACTCCAGCAATAATGGCAACGATAATTACAAAGATTCCATGAACTTCCATCCCCTTGAATAAGAGGAATTAGAAGGGGCTTGAAGAAGGAGACTGAGACTGAGGAAGGAGTGAGAGAAAGAGGTGGTTGTCTGGTTGTCTGTATGTCTTGTTTTGTCTGTTGGGCTGGTTATTTCTTTGGATCGGTTGTGTTGTTGTTGTTGTGTTGTGGTTCGATCGGTGTAGTATATGGTTTTATTGATGTTACTGGTTCGAATTTTTGGTGTTGTGTAAGTTGTTGTTGTTGTTGTTGTTGTTTTCACGAGTCCAAAGAAAGTTTTTGATGATTCGTTCGTTTAAAAAGTTTTGTTTCCGGTGATATTGTACAGTGTGTGGTGTTGGGTAAAGAGAAAGAATGTACACTATTCCAAGGCCTCAAGCAGCTTACTAAGAACAATTTTCAGCTGAATTCGCTCTCCAAAGGTTAACACAGATATAAACAAATCGACTAAATAAACTTTGGTACTGGTGCAGCGTCAGTAGAAATGACTTCTCTAACTTGAAACCTGAAGAGTGCTGATAACTCCAAAGAGACGAAGCAAAGGCGAGTGTACTTTATGGATCAAAGTACAGACCTGAAAAGAAAATGTAATGCCTATAAAACCTATCTTGGCACAGATGATGTACATGGATATAAGACCATCATCATCACCAACATCAGCAATCACTAAACATCATCATCATTCAATCATCATCAACATCACCAATCAGCATCACCATCATCATCACATTCACATTCACCATCACCATCAACATCACAGCATCATCATCACCAACATCACCAATCATCCAGGCATCACCATTCATCCCACCATCACCATAGATTTCATAGAGATTTCATAAGCTAATGTTCTCGCCTTTTACGTCACCAACGATGTAAAGGAATTTCCAACTTTCCCCCAGAAATTCCCGAGACAAAGCCAGACCATTCAACGCCGAAGCCGACAGAACGGAGAGAGAAAACAAACGTGTCAACGGAACTCAATTAGCCGAGCAGTGACTATGC